AAAGAGTCGGGGAGGTCAGATTCTGCTTGGAAATGTGTTGTGTCACTTTAGTAACGCGAATGGATGCGATGTTAGCGAAGAAAGAAGGGAAAAATGACCAAGTCTTCGATCAGGTTTCAAGTTTCTCCCCAGGGTCTTTCCATCAGTAGTTCTGGGATTTTTACCATCACGTTGGAAAATGCCAGAAAGGGCTGTACACGAGACCGGCCACGGCACTGAAACCCAGCTGGGTGCTGAGGCGTCTAGCCCCCGGAGCTCAAGGAGGAATTCCAAATTGAAGCGAGAGTTCGTGGGAGCTGATGTTTCCACCAATGAATCAAAAACGACTTATCCTGCAATAATTATGCAGGCGGCTGAGGTATCATGAGCAAATAAGTATGTGGCTCTGCCTTCAGGGAGCTGAGTGAAGGGGGACAGCGGGTCAGCAGAAGCATCAGAAGCAGAGAAGGGGGCTGGCTGTGCCGCAGGAGGGCTCGGGGGTGCCAAGGCCCCCCGGCGTGGGGTTCCCAGTCCTCCATGGCCACAGAGAACCACTGGCCACTGACTGTGGGACATCAGATGCCACTCTGCGTCCGGCACCGTGGAGTCCCTTGCTCACACCCGACTCCACACACAGGGCCTGTGTCAATGCACAGGACATGAACATTGGGGGGATGTGCTTCCTTCACAGAGGGGTCCAGGCCCACAGAATGGGAACCCTCCTGGTGGGCCCCAAATTCTGGGAAGGATCAGTTTGCAAGCACTGAGATGCCGGCTATGCACCGAGTGCCTGTGTGTGTGTGTGTGTGTGGTGTGTGTGTGTGTGTGTGTATGTGTGTACACGTGTGGTGTGGGCAGACTGAGTGGCTCAAGGTGGCTGTGGGTAATCAGCGGGTTGGATCTGTTAACTTCTCCCATTGCCGAAGAGCCCACGGAGGAAAATGAGCCATGGCTGCCGTTCTGGCTCAGTGCGTGGTAAGGCCTTATCAGAGACCGCAATTCTCAGAAGACGGGAGGGTCCCTCCGGAGACAAAGACCAGTGACAGTGGATCGTCCCCGGGAGGAGGGAGAAGTAAAGATTCTCCGGCCGAGAGTGGGCAGCCCCCCTTCTCCTCTCCCGTGGGTGGGGCCGGCCACCTAAGGACACCAGGGAACCAGGGCCTCCCACGATGCCTGAAGAGCCATGGGCACGCACAGCGCACCGGGGTCTGAACGCCCCGGGCATCCCGCGTCTGTTCAAGTTCACATGAACTCCGCCTCTTCAGCCTTGGCGCCCTCCCCGCCTCTGGTCTCCAGGCCTGGTCCGGGCTCATCCGCACAGCTCTGCAGCACCCCGTGTCAGCCCTGGACGGTCCCTCGCCCAAGTGACTGCAGTCCTAGCAAGAGGACCGAGACTGCAAAGAGGCGGAAAAGCCATCGGGACCCCAGTCCTTTCCAGAAACTTTCAGTAACGCCGCCGGCAAGAGCAGCTCAGTGGGGACCACGGCCCAGCGGGGAATAAAAGACGGGAAGGTGCTAGTTGGAATGGAGGCTTAGGCATTCTGACAAAGGAGTAACAGTAAATGTCACTGGGAAAAATTCACAGTCAGACCGAAACAAAATATATTTATTAGAAATATGACACAGTCATACAGCATACACTTCCATGTTAATAGTTAAATACATCCATGTTGGCATCTCACGTCCTGGGTGTGCTCTTTGCAGAAACGAGGCCACAGATGTATCAACTGCATCCAACTAATGTAGTTAAAATTAGGGAGCTACGGAGGATGTTCCAGACTTAGCCAAAGTCTAACCTGGGTCAAGAAAAGTGAAACACCCAGGGAACTTGGGCAAAGGAGATATTAAAAATACTTTTTTAAAAAGGTAGTTAGGCTCTATGTCTCTTACTGCACGTCCTCGGGGGCTCATCTCAAAATGGCACGCAAGCTTGGGAATGGGAGAAGCTGCAGCTAGATTTGGCAAGTGGGTGTGCAGAGAAGGGCCCGCGTCGCCTCCTTCCACAGGCCAGGGAGACACCCGCCCTCCGCCCCCGCATGGGGAAGTGGGAGAAGGAGCTTCAGAGAAACGGCCAGTGTTGTCTGGGGGAACAGAACCCTGCAGATATTCGTCACCTCTAGATGCCTAATTGCTTTGGGATGCTTTGGATGGTCTCAACAAAAGCTCCAAAACAATAGCTGAATGAAGAACGAAAACCAGAGACTAACCTCATTTCTGAAGTGAGAAGGCACAGGACGAGAGAAGTGGGTGCTTGCCGGGTTCCTCAAAACGAGAACCCTGGGGAGCAGGGCCCTGGTGCTAACCCTCAGCCAACAGAGCTCCTGTCCATGGACGATCTCACAATGATGAAAACCATGGACGTCTCTCTAGGTCTTTAAAAAACTCCACTCTTTTGGGTCTGGCATTTTGCATCTATCTTTTCTAGAAGAACAATGCATTAAAAAAAGGGGGGGGGGTGTCTGCAGAACCACCGCACGACTTTAAATGACTACTGGCTGAAGGGAGGTGAGAACAAAAGTGGATATTGCAAGTCTCAGGACAGAAAACTAGAAATGGTACAATTGGCTGACACGACCCTGTTTTCTCAATTGATCAATTTTCCACATTCACCTTGTGCTTGGAGCGCTCTGGCTACAAATGGATCTGAAAACCCCATCCTGTGGCCCAGCCCCGGGGCCAGAGGAGCATTCCCCCCCTCCGCCCCCGCCGGGTCCCCTAAGTGCTGGAAGGCCAGGTCCTGCAGCCCAGCCACCTTCGGTCCCTCTCCCGGGACCCAGCAGGGCCAGATGGGCCCCTAACCCCACTTGTGTTTCTATGAGCAGGACACATGCTTCCCCTTCTAGAAGCATGCCCACTGGCAAAGAAAATGGTACCCAAGGAGCTGCTTTGAGTTATAAAAATAAATCACACATGACCTTTCTTTTATAGGACATTTCTTTCCTTCTTTTTCCCCTAAAGGGAGCAGGCTCAGCGTAGGGCGAGGGGAAAGAACACCACCGCCACCACTGCGCAGACCCTGCTTGGCCCAGAGCTGGATCATCTGACTCATTTACAGTAATCACTAAAAACAGGGCGTCAATAATGCTGAACACCCCCTCCAGGTATCCCAAGCACCTCAACTGCCTCTCCCACACAAACCCTGCAGTAAATTCCAGATTAAACACATCGACCGACAGCTCAACCCAACTCCTCAGGATATTACCTTCCCCCACTGCAATGGAGAGCAAGGCAGAAGCTCCAGGGTAATGAAAACTCATCAGTTATGTCAACAAAGGACAGATGCGTGAAGCAACACAACGGGAGTACTTTCCATTTGGATATGTGCATCAGGAAGGACTAAATTAAATTTGTTCAGACTGTGCCTCTGACTCCCATGTGAAAACAAAGGAGCCACTGGGGGGGGGGTCTCCTTTACCAAATTGCCCAGCCCCAACCTGTGCTCACGGCCCCAACCTGGGGAGCAAGATCAAAGGCGGTCTCTCCTCTCAGGGGTTGTCAGGGGAACTCTGAAAATATACAGACTAGATCCCCGCTCCCGTTGTTCCAGATGCCCTGATTCAACGGGTGGGGCAGGCCAGGGGTGTGTGCTTTGAACCAGCTCCCTGGAAGGTTCTGACCTGGGGCCACAAAGGAGAACCCTCAGCAGGCGATGGGTGGCGGCTTGAGAAGGACGGAGGATCCCTCCGCAGAGCCCAGCAACTGCCTCTCTCGAGGTGGTCTGGAGGGAAGGGCTAACACATGCCTCTTCTGGGACAGGGCCCGGGCCACCGAGCAGCCATCCCGTAACTGCCAGTGACCGAGGACAGAGCAGCCCTTTGGTGCTGACAAGTCACCTGACTGCCCGGGGGAGCCACACCTTCATGGGCTATGCAACGTGCACCCATGTGCCCACCACGAACACCTGCCTGGGGTGCCCACTTGCTCTTCTGAGCCCCCTCCCCCCCGCCGGGGCTGTTCTGGCGGGAGCTCTGCTGTCGGCCCTTACAGGAGAGCAGACGTAGAGCCATCTCTGCCCACCCCCTCAGGGCTTGCTTTGGCCCTGCAAATGCAAAGGGCCTGATGGGGCACTAAAACCCAAGTCCAGAGTTGAAATAGTGTTTACACTTGCTGTCTGCCTGGTATCCCCAGACATACACACCTCTTCGGCCTGCGTGTGCAAACACACGAAGACCTGGGTGGGAAAGTGAGGAACGTTCTGCACCGGGCCGAATGTGTGTGGGCTTTCACGAAGGGGAATGGGAATGAGGCGGGGTGGGGGACGACGACACACAAAGGGAGGGGGCGACAGTGGCTGACGTCTCCCTTTCAGCACAGAGGTTCTGAGCGTGAGCGCGTGTAAGCACACAGATGCACACCCCGTCTGCAGACCACCCCGCAGGGGGACACTGCAGCCAGCCACCCAGGGGCTGCTTTGTATTCTCACACCTCTTCTCCTCCATCCAGAGATTCCAATCAGCGACAGCGAGATCTAAAAAGCGTGATCAAGTTCTAGGTGTCACAACTGTTGTCTAGCACGCAAGCACATTTTCCCAAAAAGCAGGGCTTGTAGGTTTCCAGGCGGCGTGAGACCGAAATGTTTGTCTTTTTGCGTTTTGCTGTGTGTTTCTTTTTTGGAGGGGGTGGGCGGTGGCAAGGGCAGAGTTTTTCTAAAGGCAGGAGCCCCGGTTTTTAGTGAAAAGACAACTGCTTTGGAAGTGCTGTTGGTGGTGGATCTCGGCAGCTCACGGGTGAAATTGCACCACGTGACCCGAGATGTCCTACTGGGTTCTCGTGGAGGGAGCCTGGGCTGAAGGACAGAGGCCCGTGCGGGGAGCAAAGCTTCCCCAGCTGACGCTCCAAATGCATCTGGATTTAAAGCGGATCCGGGGCAGAACCCTGTTCTGTTTCTTGTTTGCGTGTTGGTCCCCCTGGATGGAGCGCTGTGGGCGGTGGTGGATGGAGCAGGGCCTGTGGAAAGTGACCAGGTGCTTCGAGGACCAGCTGCAGGCCGGGGTGGGCGGTGTCTCTTGGGCCCTTGGGCTTTACGTCTCAAAGTACTTGTAGATCTGGGCCACGTACTGCATCACGCTCTGCCAGTCGGGCCGGTCTGTGTACAGCATCTCACTGAGCTCCTGCAGGAGAAAAGAACAGGTCACGCTGGGGACACCACAGACAGCCCCCACCTTCCCACAAAGGGCCTCGGCTCCAGGTTGGGGCTGGTGTTGCCTAGAAACCCTCTTCCACCTGCTTGGACAGAAAGTGTAGGCAACACTGAAGTGGTGTTAAATGTGATTTAAGTTAATAGAAAAGTGTTTTATTCCTATTTAATCAGGAGATGCCATCCCTTAAAAAAATTTTTTTTTAAAGATTTTATTTATTTGAGAGAGGATAGTGAGAGAGAGCATGAGGGGGGGAGGGGCAGAAGGAGAGGGAGAAGCAGACTCCCCGCTGAACAGGGAGCCTGACGTGCGGCTGGGTCCCAGGACCCCGGGATCACAACCGAAGCTGAAGGGAGATGCTTAACCGACTGAGCCACCAGGGCATCCCGAGATACTGCCCCCTTTAAGAAACATTAGGCATGAGTTCCTGCCCCTTTCACCTTAATAATATGACAGCATTAAAAAAATTTCGTAAAGAGAAAGTCATCCATAACTCCATTATCATAGGATGATTTCCATTTTTCTAAGTTATACTGGAGTGTGCACCTATGTTCTCCACACTTCCATCATGTGGACATACGTATTAGTGTGTGCTCTGTGCTTTTATTTTATTATTTTTTTAGGGGGGTGGTGGGAGGGGCTGAAGGAGAGGGAGAGAGAGAATCTCAAGCAGGCTCCACACCCAGCGTTAAGCCTGACGGGGGGCTCGATCCCAGGAGCCTGAGATCATGACCTGAGCTGAAATCGAGAGTCGGACGCTCAAGTGACTGAGCCGCCCAGGCGCCCCTCTGTGCTTTTCCACTTAACGTTTTCCATACACAACTTCACAAGCTGCTGTGATGTGTCCCTGGCTGTCATGGTAGGTTAGGCTCACAGTCCAAGGAACGGCTGCCCCACAGTTGACATGACATCTAATGCGACATGTAGCCTGTGTTCACTTCTTCATGTTACAGACTTTGCGGAAAGCATCGTTGTGGTGTGTTGTTGAATTCATGGCTTGAGATGAATTCTCACGAGTGGGATGACCACAAAAGCCCTGAACCAAATGAACATGCAACCACTGTCTTATCAGAATTAAGTGTTAGATGGGGCACCTGGGTGGCTCAGTCAGTTAAGCGTCTGCCTTCGGCTCAGGTCATGATCCCAGGGTCCTGGGATCGAGTCCCGCATCGGGCTTCCTGCTCAGCAGAGAGCCTGCTTCTCCCTTTCCCTCTGCCTGACGCTCTGCCTACTTGTGCTATCTCTCTGTCAAATAAATAAATAAATAATATCTTTAAAAAAAAAAAAGAATTAAGTGTTAGACCATTTAACGTTTGTTGTTGTTGCTCTTTCTCCCCTAGTTTCGTAGGCGATCAGCAAGGAGACAGTAGAGACCAGAGCGTGACAGGCAGGAGGGCTGGCTGCTCTCTATCAAGCAGCCAGTCAACTGTTCCCAAAACGTCTGCTGCTGAACGTATTAAATAATTCACTTGGGGTTGAATTTGGATTCTTTTGTGTTCACGAGAGAACAGTAGGAAAGGACTCTGATGTAAAGCCAGGAGCAGGGACGCGGTGGAAAAGCAAGGTTGAACTTACTTAGCATATCTGTTCTTGGATGGTGACAGAAATGAGACCTGTAACCGGCCATTTATTTTGTTTCCACGACACCTAAATATCTTTTACGAGTTTTGCTTCTTGATTGTGCTAAAAAAAATGACCAGCCTATCACTGGCAAGGATGTGTCTTCTGTCTCAGAGAGGACACGGGAGTCCGATCAATATTCACAGCTCTACTCAGACTACCTCATCAGGTGCCTGAATCTGACAGTGGTAACATTAAAACTATTTTGGTCCATTGTCAACACACACATTTGAAGAAATATTGTAGCATGTTTCAGGAGAAGGGAGAGTATGCTGCCTGACCCCAAATCTGAGGCTGCATGACATTTATTTGTATTAGTAGCTGAAAACCTTTCAAGATAGAAAGAACCAGGCCCAGATGGTTTCACTGGAAAATTCTGCCAAATACTCAAGGAAGAAATAATACCAATTCTACACATTCTCTTCCAGGAAATAGAAGAGGATTCCTCACTCATTCTGTGAAGCCAGCATCGCCCTAATACCAAAGCAGACAGAAAGATGACGAGAAAGCTACCCGCTTCCCACATGGACACAGACACAAAAATCCTTAACAAATATTAGCAAATTGAATCATGATCAAGTGGGGTCCATGTCAGGAATGCAACACAGGCTCAACATCCATCAGTGTTATTCATATGAACAGACTTAATAAGAAAAATCATATGATATTATCAACAGATGCAGAAAAAGCATTTACATACATACCTTGAAGATATTTGTGGGTTCGGTTCCAGACCACCACAATAAAGCAAACACAGCATATATAAGTCAAATGAATTTTTTGAGTTTCCAGTGCATAAAAGTTACGTTTTCACTATATGGTAGTCTAATATGTCTGCAACAGCGTATGTCTAAAAAAGCCCAACAAGGTACATTTGACTCTCACACAACACAAGCTTGAACCGTGTGGATCCACTTATGTGTGGGTTTTTTTTGGATAAATAGAGTATGGTACTATATGTATATTTTCTCTTCCTTATGATTTTCTTTTTTTTTTTTTTTTTTTTTTTTTTATTTATTTATTTGAGAGAGAGAGAATGAGAGACAGAGAGCACAAGAGGGAAGAGGGTCAGAGGGAGAAGCAGACTCCCCGCTGAGCGGGGAGCCCGATGCGGGACTCGATCCCGGGACTCCAGGATCATGACCTGAGCTGAAGGCAGTCGCCCAACCAACTGAGCCACCCAGGCACCCTCTTCTTCCTTATGATTTTCTTAATAACATATTTTTCCCTGGGCGCCTGGGTGGCTCAGTCAGTTAAGCATCTGCTTTCGGCTCAGGTCATGATCCCGGGGTCGTGGGATCGAGTTCCGCATTGGGCTCCCTGGGAGCCTGCTTCTCCCTCTGCCTCTGCCTCTCTTTCTCTGTCTCTCATGAATAAATACATTTTAAAAAATCTTAAAAAAATTAAAAAACATATTTTTCCTCTACCTTACTTTAAGAATACAAGATGTAATATACGAAACATAAAAAATATTTATTAATCGATTGTTTACATTATCAGTAAAGCTTCTGCTCAACAGTAGGATATTAGCAAAGTTTCTGGGGAGTCAAAAGTTATACAGAGATTTTTGACTGCCTGGGGGGGTTGGTGCCCCCAGCCTCTGTGTGACAAGGTCAACTGTACATTCCTTAATTAAAAAATATTTTCTTGCTAAAAAAATGCTAACCATTATTTAAGCTTTCAGCAAGGTGTAATCACTGACGACAGAGCACTATCACAAATACAATATAATTATAAATAATAATTCTAAGAATTACCAAAATGTGACACAGAGACACAAAGTGAACATGTGCTGTTGGCAAAATGGAGGTGATAGACTTGCTTGATGCAGGATTGTCACACAAAAAATGTAGTATCCGTGAAGCTCAATACAGTGAAACACAAGTGAGGTAGGCCTGTTTACAAAATTCCACAACTATTCATGATAAAAACTCCCCCAAAGCTAGAAAAATAGAAGGGTATTTCTTTTACTTAATAAAAGATAACATACAAAAACCAACAGCTGACCTCAAACTTAATGGTGAGGGACTGCACACTTTCCCACTAAGATCAGGAGAAAAGAACAAGGCAAGCATGTGTTCTCTCATCTTTCGCACTCAACACTGTACCAGAAGTTCTAGCTAATGCAATAAGGCAAGAAAAAGAAACAAAAGGCATACAGATTGGAAAGGCAGGACTAAACCTGCCTTAATTTGCAGAGGACATGATTGTCTATGTAAAGAACTCCAGGCTACCAAAAAACCCATTGGAACTAATATGCAAGTCTAGCAAGATCTCAGTCAATAGTTTTCCTATTATATGCCATCAATGAGTAACAGACATGGGAAACCAAACCAAACCATTTAAATGGCATTAAATTTTAAAAAAGGATATATATGCAGAAAACTTGTTTATAAAACACTATATGCAGAAAACTACAAAGCAATGATGGAAAAAATCAAGAAGCTCTAAATAAATGGAGAGTATTGTATGTTCATGGATAGGAAGACTGAGTATTGACAAAAATGTCAATTCTTCCCAATCTGATCTATGGATACAACACAATCCCAATCAAAATCCCGGCAGGGTTTTTTTTTTGGGGGGGGGGGTAGATATTGACAAACTGATCTAAAATTTATAAAGCAAAGGTACTAGGACAACCAAAGAAATTCTAAAAAGAAGAATAACGTTGGAAGACTTGATTTCATGATCTATCAAGTTGTATGAATCAGGACAGTGAGGTATTGACCAAGTGACAGATGCTCAGATCATGTTATATCTATTTTACCACAATAAGAATAATTGAAAAAAAAAAAAAGATAAGGCTTCCTGCCCTTGGGAGCTCATGGTCTTGCGGGGGATGGAGATTAAGTCCTATAATCAGATAAATTACAATGTAATGCTGCATGAGCTATACAGTACTATGAGTAAATTGTGCATTAAGAGCCCAAAAGGTAGGCATGGCTGTCTTGGATGCAGGGTCATGAAGGAGGTAAGATGTGGGCTCTGGAGAAGGCCGGCCTGCTTGACTCTTGCCTTTGCTAATCACTAATGTGTGACCTTTTATGGAACTGCACCTGCCTCAGTGTCCCACCTACAGGAGCATCTGTCTCCACAGGATTCCTGAGAGGGCTCAATGAGCCAACACATGGAAAGTGCCTGGGGGTGCCTGGGTGGCTCAGTTGGTTAAGTGTCCGACTCCTAATTTCAGCTCAGGTCATGATCTCAGGGTTGCAAGATCAAGTTCTGCATCGGGCTCTGCGCTCAGCACGGAGTCTGCTTCTCTCTCTCTTTCTCCCTCTCCCTCTCCCCCTCCCCCTGCTTGCGTGTGCTCGTTCTCTCTAAATAAATAAATAAAATCTTAAAAAACAACAAAAAAAGAAAATGCTTGGTGCATAGTCAACATGAAAAAATATTTTTCATACTACTAAACTCAAATCAACTCTAAGTAGCCTTCATAAAGTTTGTACTGCAGAACAGGCTCAGTTATGCCTAAGGAATCATTCTGATATCCTCTTAACATGCAGAGTTGTAAAGACCTCCCTGTCCTGATCTCTGTGTGTAGTGACTGTTCGGGTGGCTTACCCCACAGGCAACACCCTCACAGACTATATGATTCAGCACGAGGGTCTTCCCTTCACCAGGACAGAAACACCTCAACGCTCGGAGGATACACATTCTGGCTGTTCTTCCGGTAATGGCCATGATGTCACCTGTCCTCTTTAACCAATTCTTTCTGTGAGGAGTTGCTCACACTTGTGATATGATGGGCTAAACCTCTCTGTCCCACTGTGGCTGAAAAGGAATGCATTCTAAAATTGGGAGAACATGTCAAGCTTTCATTTAAAAAATAATCTCATCCTTGCTAATATGCCACACCCAGAAACCTGTATTTCCTTGGAACTACAACTGTAAGTGAAATTTTCCCCCTCACTAATCTTACAATAGACTTTGATCAAAGACCTGGGGTTATTACTGCTGCCAGTTCTGACTGTATATATTTTATAAGTATCATGTGTAATCAAGAACTATTTTTCAATCCACATCAAGGTACGGCAAAGCAAATTTCATAATGTAGGAAGTTTCTGTTTTGTTGATGGCACAAGCTAGTTAAATTGCTCACAAACATCCCTAAATGCTTTTGAGATTAATTATTATGCTTGTCAGTATCTCCTCACAGACATCTGTAAATATGAAACTGCTGGCTCTGACAATTGGTTCAACAAGATGATCTCATTCCTAGCTTTCACTAAGTCCTGCCTTATGTCAGATAAAATTTAGGGAAAAAACGTTAAATTAAAAAAGAAGCAAATTTTAGCTGTAACACGACAAAGAAAAACATATTCTGTGTATACTATCGTCTAACAAGTTCTCATTTTTTTCTTGGATTCCTTACGTTAATTATCTGTTGTTACTTGTTAGCTGTTCAGTGTTTCAGAAGGGAAGATAAATCAGGTTCTTTTTACCCCATCTTGGCCAGACATGTGTGTCATGTCCTTTCTAAATTCTCTAGCCTCTTATTTATGTGACAGGGACATCTGTTTCTTAAAAAGTTTCATAGAATTTGGACTTACTGGGATTTTTTGCGTGCATGACTACATTTTTAAACAATGAAGTCGATTTCTTTAATGGGTAAGGTTCTATTTTGTTTTGAGTGAGTTTTGGAGAAATATTTACATTTAGTATTTGAAGAAATATATTTACATTTCTTTAGAAAATTGCTCATTCTGTTTCAAACATATTGGTGTAACACTGTTCATAGTACCGACGTCTCTATGACAGCTGGACTTTTGCTTTTTCATTTCTCAGATTCCCCACATCCTCTGAGGGTTACAGACCTGTGGCTCACTGTGACTTCCATTTGGATTTTCCCAATCACTCATGAGACTGAACATCTTTTTAAATGTTTATGAGCCACTCATGGTTTGCCTATTCTAGCCTTTGATAATTTTCTACTAAGTTGTGTTTTTATTATTAGTTAGTAGAAATTATTTACAGATTATCTGTCTTCTCTTTACTTTTTATGCAGTTCTGTTATGATGTGTCTGGATAGGTATTTTGCGTGATTCATCTTGTTTGAGGTTCATTAAGAATCTATGGTCTTTCATCATTCTGGAAAAATTTCAGGCACCATTTCTTCAAATATTCTCTCTCCCATTCCTTCTTTCCTCTTTCTGGAATTCCCACTGGCCATGGGACTTAGAAATTGTCTGATTTTATCTTCCATTCACTTAAGCTCTGCAACAGACACTATCAGTTGGTTAATCTAAGAGTCATTCCCAACCTCTCTATCCCTTGTAGGCTTCCCACTAAAGAAAATGGAGAATATAAATTGCTTACTTTCTCAAATCCCCTTGCAGCTGGGGTGACCATGTAACAGAGTACTGCCAATGAACTGAGGGGCTCTGGGAAGCCTTTTGATTTCCTTATCAAAGGGGGTTAGATATGAGGCACTTGTTCTATCCTTTCCCCCTCCTTCCTGTCCAGCAGATGGGAGTGATGTCTGGAGCATGGCAGCCATGTTCAACCACAGAGGACATGGGGACAAAGAGCCAACAGATTAAAGATGGTGGAGTGTAGATAGGACACACTCTGGAGTCCTTGATTACAATACTGAACAGTGAACCAATTCTGAAACTACTTCTGGACTTCTCATTAAAAAAATAAAATTAACAGCTTTATGGTTTAAGCAACTGTTAGTTGGGTTTTCCATTTCTTGAATTTGTCTTTTTTTAAAAAAGATTTTATTTATGTATTTGAGAGAGAGTGAGAGAGAGCACACACATGTACCTGAGTGTATGTGGGGGTAAGGGCAGGGGGCGTCTCATGACCTGAGTCAAAATCAAGAGTTGAACGCCCAACAGACTGAACCACCCAGGCATCCCCCCATTTCTTGAATTTGAATACATACTAGTACAATCCCTCTATTATAGTTTCCACTTTTTAAATGTCTGTTTCATGTTCTGGATAACGTCCTTAGTTCTATTTTCCAGCTCAGTAGTTCTCTCTTCTGCTATCAGTTTTTCAATCCAAGGGGCTTTTTTAATTTCTAATTTTTATTTCTACTAGTTTCATTTGATTCTTTTTCCAAATCTTTTTTTTAATAGTACCCCAGTCCTTATGATTTTTATTTCCTCTTTTACCTCTTTAATATGTTTAAACATAGTCTTTTGTAGTCTCTTTCTTATTATTTTATTATCCCACATTCTGGTAGCCGATCCTCTTGTTTGCTCTATCTGCTGATTAGCTCAATTAGATCATTTTCTTGAGTGTTTTGTAATTTTGGATTGTGAATGTATTTTCATTTTTTTTTTTTTAAAGATTTTATTTATTATTTGACAGAGAGAGACACAGCGAGAGAGGGAACACAAGCAGGGGGAGTGGGAAAGGGAGAAGCAGGCTTCCTGCAGAGCAGGGAGCCCGATGCGGGGCTCGATCCCAGGACGTTGGGACCATGACCTGAGCCAAAGGCAGCCGCTTAACTGACTGAGCCACCCAGGCGCCCCGTGAATGTATTTTCAGTGGCCATTATACCACTGAAGCTATGTGCCTCAGACAGTATAAACTAGGGGCTTTTTGCAGCACAGATATAAATTTGAACTCCAAACCTCATCTGGCCCAGTCTTCTTTTCTTGCAGATTTTCCTTTATTTGGCCACACACACACAAACACACACACACACACACACACAATCCAAGGTGGAAACCAAGCTTCCGTATCACTTCCCTTGACTGGCAGGTAGAGTTGTCTATTTTCCCCTTCGCTAAGAAGAACATCATTTTGTGACCTTGGGTTTTGTGCAAGGGTCTCAGTACTAATGTTCTGTTTAAGGGAGCTCAGCACCTTGTCTCTTGTTCCTGTGTGGGCATTAAATAAAACCTATACCCATTAGGGAGCCTTTTACTATGAGCCCTCTGCCAGCACTCCCAAACCCACTTCTGAGGCTTGCCAGTCTTAGTTTATGCCTTGTGGCTCTGGTTTTCACTTCCCTTTGAATTTCTGACATCTGGCCATTTCCCATTCTCTCTTCTGACCACATCTATGTGTTGGTATTTTTATAATTACATTTTATCCAGATTTCTAGGTGACTTGAACAACAGGGCTTTAATAATTCAGTCCAACGTACTTCCAGATATGAAATTTATCCACAATGAAATCTTTGAAAAAACTCTAAATCATATGTGGTTAGACTAACTGAATTAAAAAAAAATGTTTTTTTTTTTTTGAAGTAGGCTCCACACCCAGTGCATAGCCCAACGCGGGGCTTGAACTCACAACCCTGAGAATTGAGACCTGAGCTGAGATCAAGAGTCAGATGGTGAACTGACTGAGCCACCCAGGTGCCCCAGTAATATTTTCATATTCGGGATCATGAGTAACAGATCTTTAGCAAATGGATTTTAATGTTCTGTAAGAAATTGTTCAGTAGATGGCATAAAGTTCTTTCTCCTATAAGTAGAATAAAGTGTCACAAGGATATAAAATAGGATACTTACCAGGCTGGGTTTGATGCCTACACTTTCGGCTGCTTCAAATGCCAACAAGAGATTCCTTTTCTAGGTTAAAAGGACAGAGACTGGAATTATCAACTAAAAACATATAGCTTTTGAAAAAAATAAAAATAAATATAAAAATGTATAGTTTTTGCCAGGAAAGAACACTAAATGACACTCTGATATAGATGATCTACTACTATAAAACACTTAAAATTTTAAGTCAAATATGCAAACAGGGTTTCAGTCCAAGGAAGAAAATGATTGACAGGTTAAATAATTAAAATGACATTACCGATTGATTCCTGACTATCAAAGATAAATATTTGCTCAGTTATTTTTTACTTTGCCACAATTTACGACGTACACATTCTGTTGTGTATCAAGAGTTGTTTTATCACGGTGCTATATATCCCATTTCCCCCTAGAATTCTAAAGGCACCGTTCCACATTTAGCCCGAATTTGCAGCTTCTTCTTGAGACTCTTTCTGGCTCTTTTGATGTTTCCTCACCTGGATGAACTTAAGGATCACTTAATCCTGCCTCCTTCCCTCCACAGTTCACTTGAGAGTCATTAGGATAACATCAAAATTTAATTAGATTGGTATATTAAGTTTAATCAAGAGAGTCATGTTCCTGTAAGTAATATTCACGTTTTATGTTCCCCAGTAGAATTTCACGATTTTATGCATTTGGATTTGATACATAATTTTATCCCTTTTTCCATTTCCGCATAGCCTCCACCCTCTGTCCTTGGGTGCACATCTGCTTCCTGAAGGTGGGTGGGCCCTGCCCTGAGACTGAAGCAAACTCTCTGCTCTAGGTACCAGGTCACGGAAAAAGAGAAAGACAAGGCTGTGCATGTTTTCTCCCAGGCTGTGGTCGAGGCCTGTGAAAGCTGTTGATCTGTGGTCATCTTGCCCAAGCCACCAGCCCTCTTCCTCCAAATTAAGGGAAATTTATGGGCATGAACTAGAAACCTTATGCTTGTTTCCATACCACTGCTTTCTGTTCTGCTGAGACAGGAGCTCCAAGTTGGCTCCTGCTTCCTTTAATTGAGCCCAAACTTGTGGCAGCCATCTCCTATTTTGTGCTTATTTTAAAGTCCCTTTTGATTAGTTTTGAGGGGGAAGGGGGCTTGTAAGCCAGTTTTTCGGCTACCATTATTCCAGAAGTCATGGCATTTGATAGGCAATGCCAACTTGTTTTCTAAAATGCTATACCTGGGACACCTGGCTGGCTCAGTTGGTGGAGCATGGGACTCTTAATCTCAGGGTTGTGAGTTCGAGCCCCATCCTGGGCATGGAGCCTACTTAAAAAAAAAAATAAATAGGAGGCTGCACCAATTTTCAATTCCAGCAATAGTGTGTAAGTGTCCATTTTCTCACACTTTTACCTGCATAGACTATTATGACCAAGCACTGTTATCTAATTCTTTCATTGCAACGGTGTCAGGCCCCCGCGAGGCCAGGGGGTGGGGGGTGGAGAAAGCTGCCACTTACAGGGAGCAGGGGGGAGTGTGCCCAGGGAGGAACCGAGAGGTTCCCAGAGCCCTTCCAGCCCCAGGATAGCGTCAGCCCCTGGTAGAGATCTTGGTGCTGGCCCCACCAACAGCGCATCTCACCTAAAACTGACAGCAGAAAGCATCCCACGTCCAGAAAATTTCTCCTCTCATGTTAAAATTTTGTTTCAGACACTGACACGAAAACACTCCGTTCTATCACCTGAATCTGAGTAGCCTACGTGGAAGTTTCATGGGCTGACAGATAAATACGCTTTCTGTTGAAAAAAATGCCCAAACCTTCCACTGACTGTAACTCATGTCTCTTTAATGTCTTCCAAGACGTCCTTGTTAGTTTTATCAGAAATTCCCTATTTAACACTGATGTCCAACCAACTTGGTTTCATTACATCCGTCTGGGTAAATGGAACAGCTCATGATTTCTGAACTTCCCGGGCTATCATTAATCTCACAGACCCGCAGTCTTCCACAATCTGACCTGGGTGCTCCCTGAAAACAGCATCCTAGATTAGGGGGAAGACATTCAACCCTACATGTAGAGACCACGGGCCCCTGTACCACAAGGACAATGGGAAGTGAGTAAACGGTGGTGTCTGGGTGTTGCATGTTTCCAAATGTGCAGCCAGGGACCAGGGCAGCTGGGCCGTGTGGTGTGTGGGAACCATAGACACCCATGGCAAGACAACACACTTTCATAAGGAAGCAGTGCTCATGATTCAACGTGTGAAAGCAAACACTTTTAGGTTCGTTATCTTCCAACAGATCCAGAGTGATCTGAGGACGAAGAGCCTAGGTATGCTTTGCATAGGAGCAAACATTTCACACCTTCAGGAAGATTCCTGTTTTAGATAGGGTGTGCATAAGTGTGGAGACTTCTCTTTACAACAATTTTAGTGAGGTCCTCCGATGATTCTGAATTGTTTTATGCCCACTCTTGACTCAATTATCTTTGTAATATCACATGGAAAAGACAGAGGCTGTAAAAAGTGAAGAGAAGGGACACGGAGGTCACTGCTGGAGGTGGGCTCTGCTGCGAGGGGCTTGATGCACAGGCTGCGGGTACCCCACACGGCCCTAGCTTGTCTCTCCTCCTCTCTGGCTGCTCCACTCTGGTTCCCTTTGCTGGGTCATCCTCTCCCTAGACGACAAGCACTGGAGTCAAGGTTCCTTAGCCTTCTCTCTATGCCTCTGTGATATTGTGATTTATAGCAAGAAATATACATTTGGTCTTTGTCCACGGTTCCTGGCACAGGGCTCCTAAAACCCTTATCATTTCCCATATAAGAGCCATAGGGGCATCTTTTGTTACAATCTCTGGTTTTTGTCCTCAGTTCCAGAAATGGCTTCAGAACAACAAAGTTGAAATAGATGTCTTCTGTTACTCGTAACAAACCTCTTTCTTTCTTTTTTTAAAAAGATTGCAACATCTTTTTTTTTTTTTTTAAAGATTTTATTTACTTATTTGAGAGAGAGAGAAGGAGAGACAGTGAGTGAGTACAAGTGGGCTCGATCCCAGGACCCTGGGATCATGACCTGAGCCGAAGGCTGATGCTCAACCGACTGAGCCACCCAGGTGCCCCAACAAACCTCTTTCAACCGCACCCGAGTTTATGTTAAAGAGGTGATTTTTCAAAAAACCCCAGATAACCTAAGGATGGGGGCTGGCTGCTAGGGGAACCAGCCATGTGATTAGAAGGTTGGAACTTTCAGGCCCATATCCCCTGACCCCAACCTCGGGGAGGGGAGGCAGACTAGAGACTGAGTTCAATCACCGATAGCCAATGGTTTAATCAATCGTGCCTGTGTAAGGAAGCCTCCATTGAGCTCAAAAGGATGGGGTTCAGAAAATGTGTGTTGGGAGGGTGGTGCACCCCAAGGTCCAAGGGGACAGAAGCTCTTGCGCCCGGGACCCTTTTGGACCTCACCCTAGGGGGCTCCTCATCCAGCTGGTCATTAGTGTCCTTCAATATCCTTTGTAATAAACTGGTAACCTAGTAAGTACTGTTTTCCTGAGTTCTGTGAGCCACTCTAGCAAATTAATTGAACCTAAGGAAGGGGTCACGGGAACCCCTGGTTTATTCAGTCTGTCAGAAGCAAGGTGATAACTACATGGTCACCGGGGTCTGAAGTGGAGGGCACACTCTTGTGGGACCGAGCCCTTAACCTGTGGGACCCGATGCTCGTTCCAGGCGGACAGTGTCAGAACTGAGTCACACTTGAGGATGCCCAGCTGGTGTTGCAGAACTGCCCGGTATGGGCAAAACCCCCCATCTGTTTACAGAAGTATCAGAAGTGAAACGCTGGGAGCAGAGTGGATACAGACGAGGTTTTCTTTAGAGCTTCCCTTAGGACCTAGGACCAAGGTGATCTCCACTCTCATGGCTTTAAATACCATCTATACCCGCCTTGTTGGATACAGTAGCTACACCTGACATGTGGCTATTTAAATCAAAAGTAATTAAGGGGTGCCTGGGTGGCTCAGTCGTTAGGCGTCTGCCTTCGGCTCAGGTCATGATCCCAGGGTCCTGGGATCGAGCCCCGCATCGGGCTCCCCTGCTCAGCAGGAAGCCTGCTTCTCCCTCTCCCACTCCCCCTGCTTGTGTTCCCTCTCTTGCTGTGTCTCTCTCTGTCAAATAAATAAATAAAATCTTTAAAAAAAAAAGTAATTAAGATTAAAAATTCAATTTTCCAATCATTGAAAGCCACATTCATTAACGGCCCAATGGACTAGTGGCTACCATGTTGGATAGCGCAAATGTAGAACTTTTCCATCATTTCGATTCACTTAGGCAGCACTTACCTACTCCCTGATGACTCCCGAATCTGCCTTCCAGCTCTGATCTCCCCTCTGAATTCCACATTTATTATCCAACCACCTGCCTGACACGGCACACTGCATACTTTAGGAACATCTCCCACTTAACATGATTAAGAACAGAACAGCTTTTTTGGTTTTGTTTTCCAAATGTTTAATGCTCCTGTCCAGCCTGCTTCACGGACTACCAACAAAGGCGCCACGCACAAATTTTAGGTCTTGAGATTTTTACACGCTCTGTGATGGTTAATTCTATGTATCGACGCGGCTAGGTCATGGTACCAAATGTTTGGCCAAACATTATTCTAGATGTTTCTGTGAAGGTATTTTTAAGATGAGATTAACATTTAAAGCGGTAGACTTTGGGTAAAGCACATCACCCACCATAGCGTTAGGCCTTAATGGAAAAAGCCCGATCTCCCTCGAAGAAGAGCGAATTCTGCCAGCAAACTGCCTTCCGATCCAAACTGTGGCATTCAACTTTCTTACACACACACCCTATTACTTCTGTTTCTCTGGAGAACCCTAACACTCCAGAAAATTAAATCAGTCTGTTCAGTTATTATCATCATCAGTGCCATGACCATGCATTGGGCTTTATAATCAAAACAGAACTTTCCAGCATTTCTATTCCTTCCCCATCCTGGAAAATGACCTGTCAGGCTAGACACGCCTCTCCTTCCTCGTGTCCTCCCCCACAACCAACCAGGTACTAAGTCCAGCGGATTCTAGATCTAAGACCTACTCTGAATCTATCTCCATCTTTCTATCCACGAGGCTACCACCCCCGCCACAGCTAAATGGCTGGAGTCAGGGATGCTAAGCCCTCACGTTGATGACTCCAAGAGCCTCCCATCCGGTAGCGCCTCACCCATTCTTGTTTCTTTTCCAGTTCTTTTTCTCACATAACAGCAAGAAAGATCTTTCAAAAACATGAATCATGTCTCCACCATTTAGAATCCTTCAGTGACTTCCCACCGAGGTTAGAGCAAGAGGCAGATTTCTTTCCAGAGCCCTCTCTGGAAGCCCTGCAGGGTCTGGCCCTGTCTGGACCCCAGAACCATCACAGGCCACTCTTCCCCGCTCACTGAACTCCGGCCAGTGGGTCTTCCTCCATGTTCCCCGACCACACCCAGGTGTTTTCTTGGGCAGGCTGCTCCCTTGCTCTGGAAAGCTCCCCCTAGCTCTTTGTATTACTGGCTCCCGGTTTGTTCTGAAGAGTACCGCCTCTCAGAGAAGCCTTCTCAGCCCTTCCTGATCTAAATTAGGAAACCTGTTCACTCCCACAGCATGAGCTTTCTCTCATAGCTCTTCGGCAATTTATTTATTTATAACGTTACCGGTTACAGGCTTACTCACTTGTGGACCTGTCTCTCTACTTCAGAGGGCAGAGAACAGGTCTACGTTGTTCACTGTTGTCTTTATTACTATGCACGATGCTTGGCAAGAAATACTTGTGGAGAGAATGAGCGCAGGGCCCAGAACAGCATTTTCCAAAGTACGCTCTGTGGATACGATTTTGTAGGATGTTCTAGGTCAGGGTTTGGCAAACTATAGCCCGCAGACCAAATCGGGCCCACAGCCTCTTTGTGTAAATAAAGTTTTATTGGAACACAGCATGCCCATCCATCTCGTCTCGGGCCACTTGGGCACTACCATGGTAGATGAGTAGCTGTGACAGAGACCCGTGGACCCACCAAGTCCACTATTTGGCCCTTAACAGGAAACTTTGCGAACTCTTGTTGTAGGTAATTGTATTAAAAAATTCTGTGGATCTGATATATGTAGGGTTAAACAGAGTCACACAGGTTTCTCTCATGTTCCTGAAGTCTTTACTGTGCTAATGAGCACTGTGAATCTCTAAGAATGTGACATAATATACAGTTTCCCAAGCTTATCCGAGCAGCGAGATCCTTTCGTTGGTGCTTCTGGTTCTGAAAATGCTGGCCAAGGTCTTAAAGCCACAAAGGTGAAATTTCATCAAGGCTTTCTCTCAAAAAATGGGTGACAGTCACAGTAAACTGGTCTTCACTCCATTCTTCCAGGCCACGAGGCAACTGAGAAGTATTTACCGAGGGTGGGATCCTACGGCCTTGTCATACACTCAGTTATGTCTGCCTGGTACCAATATCCTAATTTCCTGGTCTATAAACACCACCCCATCAGGATGTACGATATTATAGGAATTCCCCTTGCATGTTCTAGAGGATAACCAGGGGTGATTGGGCAGGTGACTTACTTTCTCCTGACTGTTCAGCTCCTGATATGGGATGTGGGCAGGCAGGTAGGTATGAAGGAGAGCACAGAAGGCCAAGCCGTCACTCCAGCTGCTGCTGAAATTGGTGATATCAATGTTCTGTAGGGGGGGGAAAGCAGCATTAATCTCCAAACTGTGCAAAGGCAGAGAATATGAATGAGACTACGGGAAGATGGGTACCTCTGGGTTTGCAGGAAGGCCGGATGAGAAACCACCCAAGACTGCCGGGTGTCCATTTAATTTTGGTACCAGCAATGGCCCGCTGTCACCCAAATCCACTTACAGAATCGCATGAAAAAAAGCCTTAAGGGCTCCCAACCCTGGGGAATTTCTGCCTACCCGGTGGTACATGAAAAGCTCCGAGACATCTTATTCTTGAATCCACCCACTCAATTAGGTTTCTTTTTTTAAAGATTTATTTATTTGAGAGTGAGAGAATGAGAGAGAGAGCACATGAGAGGGGGGGAGGGTCAGAGGGAGAAGCAGACTCCCCGCTGAGCAAGGAGCCCGATGCGGGACTCGACCTCAGGACCCTAAGATCATGACCTGAGCCAAAGGCAGACGCTTAACCGACTGAGCCACCCAGGCGCCCTCAATTAGCTTTCTATATCCCAGCATTTCCCAGATTTATCTGGTCAAGGAGGAACCCTCATCATGATCGTCATGATGTATGACGCCAATTAACAACAGGTAGACCAAGACAAACCAAGATCTTAAAAACCTAGATGGCTGGTCTCACGGCTTACTCCTGCTAATACCCTCTACACCCCACAACTTGAAGGGCTTCTCAGGGAGAGCAAACCCTTCAAACCCAACAGTACCCTTGCTGGCACATCAAATACCCAAGGACTATGAGGCTTCCCGAGGGAAAAGGAGCTTCTGCTCTGGAATTGGTGGGAACCCCAGTAGATGCTTGGTAGACCGTGATGAGGAAAACAGAATCTTTAGAGGAAGGCAGCTCGTGGAGACAATGAAGTGGGCAGAGGTGAGCGGACGGTGAAGAGGCGGCTCTTTCTGAAGGTGTGGACGCCGACTACTCCCTCTCCCTCTGCCCAAACCAAACGCCAGTCTGCAGCAGCTTGACTCTGCCCTGGGAAGTGATTTAGGGTGTCTCCACCAGAAGTGGCAGCACTTGAGTAGGGGAGGAAGGGTGAAGAGAACATGGCATGAAGGTAAATTGCAATAGGGAGAGGGAGACTTTGTGGAGTTCTTCCTAACATGTGTATAAAGAAGTTTCGAAGAACACAGGGAGGTGGAAATGTATAATAAAACATGGTATCAGAGTTTCCCATGCGGTTTCCTGAGGGGTTTGGAAGCAAATGGCCCATAATCTCATTTGAGCGTTTTTGTTTTTCTTTTTCAAGATTTTATCTATTTGACAGAGAAAGACACACAGCAAGAGAGGGAACACAAGCAGGGGGAGTGGGAGAGGGAGAAGCAGGCTTCCCACTGAGCAGGGAGCCCGATGCGGGGCTGGATCCCAGGACCCTGGGATCATGACCCGAGCCGAAGGCAGACGCTTAATGACTGAGCCACCCAGGCGCCCCTCATTTGAGCATTTTATCTAGATTTTCCCTGTGTTCCTCTGAGCTAGCTTGGCCTCTAGCGACGAGGTAGGTCAAATGGCTCGTTTTATAGGAAAGATGAGGAGGTGGTGTCCACACGTCACACACGGTGTACCTGGATGATGGACACTCCGGCGGGCCAAGTCCCCACCCTGTGGCCCTTTCTAGCAAACCTCTTCTGGCTTCTAGCCAGAGTCCAGGGTGACCCAGGTGGACCCTAGAACATCCCCCCCAAAGCGCTGCCTTTCAGGAATGTCGGATTCTCCAGGCTGCTTTGCAATTACGTCTACCTGGGGGAAGGATCTCTGGCTGAGGGCAACACACAACCATAATAATGCCTTTCCGTTCTGGTTTTCATGACTCAAGCACAACCAGATTTTAAGAGCTGCTAAGCATCCGTGTTACATAAAAGTCTGAGAATGCCCCGTCTCCGTTTTCGGGCTGAATGTGCACGAGCCGGGCCTCCTGGTAAGCTGATCATTTGCATTCTTGGCTTCAAAAAGTCTCCTTGGAGACTCTGGAGCTACCTGATGGGGCCTGGATGCTGCTTCAGAAATGGGAAACATTGTAATTTTATATTTTCTCAAGAGGTCTGCATGTTAAAAAAGAAGAGGAAAGACACAGGTGGGGGCCATGCCCTGTCCGGTTCACTGGAAGTCTCAGGCACTAGAACCAGATGCTCATCAGCTCCTCGGGCCCCGGGAAGTGGGCATAAGGAGGGAGCTGGGCCAACCTTCGGAAAACCAGCCCTTGTCGACACGGAGTCCCCTTTCTTTGGCATGTAGAGGTCATCTGAGACCCCGTCTCCCAACCCATCTCTCACGGTACCTGTGACGTGGCAGAAGGAAAGCCGGACTTTCTTTCCAGGGACTGCTTGCTGATGGCTTATTGTTCATGCTCAGCACTAGGGCATCTGTGAAAATGGGACAAGCACGCGCCACACCTGGCAGTGTTCGCTCCGAAAGGCAACGTTGATGTACAGCTCATTTCATCCTCAAAGGAAACTGAGGCCGGAAGCAGTGGTGTTTCCGTCAGAAAGGCCACATTTTAAATAGAAAGCCAAACATTCAGTGAATGACCAGGATGTAAGTCCCTGAAATATGAGTGCCGGGACATACCAAGCTCCAAAAATGGGGGCAGTGAGGGCGGTAAAATTCATTGAGTGTCTACAATGTGCCTGGTGCTGGGCAGTTCCTTATTTAATTCTCAGAATGACAATACGTCGTAAGTAGCACTGTACCCATTTCACAGATGAGGAAGCCAAAGCAGGAAGAAGTATCACTGGGGCCAGAGTCAGGGGCAAACTGCAGTTCTGCCCGACAGCAAAGCACATCATGTTTGCTGTCCTTCCTTCCTTCCTTTTTTTCCCTTTCTTTTCTTTCTTCCTCCTCCTCTGCCCTCCTTCACAAAGTTACTTCATGCCTAAAGTTTTGTGTTTTTTTTAAAGATTTTATTTATTTGAGAGAGAGAATGAGAGAGAGAGAGAGCACATGAGAGG